AACGCGCCTTCTGCCCTTGACCTGCAGGAGCATCGTGGGCTTGGCCCCGTGCGCGGGCACGCAGGCGGCGGAGGCCGAACGGAGCGCCACGTTCGAGAAGTCTTCTTTGGTGGCCAACGCCGCTAGGGCTTCGGCAGCTAGACCGCAGTTCGCCGTCACTGAAGAAGGAAAAAATATGGTCAAAATGGGTTCATTTGTTTAAAGCCTGGTCCGTGAGCACGTAGAATTTTGTCCAATGACCCCAAGCTACCCATCCTTATCGCTCGCGCGTAATTATGTTGCTGTCGCGCTCGCACACTCACTGTGGGCGCCCGTCGCACAGTCGCGACAGCAATATAATTACGCGCGAGCGATAAGGATAGGGTAGCTTGGGGTCATTGGACAAAATTCTACGTGCTCACGGACCAGGCTTTAGGAGCTAGCATGCCATAGACATCAGATAACTCCATGAAAGTTTTGATACAATCTCCTTGTTTCCTTCGGGGGTTTATAAAATTAAGGACCACTTTGTAGAAGACAGGACGCAGGGTTGATTGACGTCGAAGGGCAGGTCAGCAAATGAAACACAGGGCTCGATCCAAACGTGACAGTAATAGCGTGCCGTTTGACGGCGACTGAGGCATGAGAAAAAAATAACAAGTAGTCGAGTTTTGTATGGAATATTTAGATGTTTTTATTTTGAGATGGAACACAAAAAGTAATCTAAAAAAAAACCGACTCCAAAAAACCTACACTAAAACGTAGAAAAATAATTACTAATTACCTACTTATTTATTAGGACGAATTATTAATATTTATGTAGGTATACCATGATTGATACTTCTGGAGTCGGTGCCAAGATTATGAAACATGTAAAGTTTGCCTGCACCGACTCCAAAAGTATCAATAATGGTATACCTACATAAATATTAATAATTCGTCCTAATAAATAAGTAGGTAATTAGTAATTATTTTTCTACGTTTTAGTGTAGGTTTTTTGGAGTCGGTTTTATTTTTTTTTATAAAATTTTACTTATTTCTTGCTTTTTAGTTAACTAATTATTACCTTGATGTTACCACTGAAGGTAGGCAGTACATTGAGACCATATTCTTAATGTATATTATAAAAAAGTTCATCCCCAATTTTCCACCCTTGGGGGTGAAATATTTTCTTCAAATTCGCATGAAACCACCCTTTTGATAATACCTATTCAACAAAAAAATAATCGTTCAAATTGGTTCATAATCGGCGGAGATATTGCGTATAAAAAAGTTCATCCCCAATTTTCCACCCTTGGGGGTTGTTTTTTTTATTATTAAATTTAAATGGGACCACCCTTGAGGTATTACCTATACGCTGAAAAAAGTATTGTTCAAATCGGTTCATAATTGGCGGAGTTATCGCGTAACAAACATAGAAAAAAAAAAAAAAAACATACGGGTCGAATTGAGAACCTCCTCCTTTTTTTGAAGTCGGTTGAAAAGGATCTCTCTCCCTCTCACTGGGATATCTAATACTTGACTTACGCACTCATTGTAGAAACTAGGCATTTTCTTGATTTTAGAAAAAATCTTTTGGGCCACACAGCATCACCTAGTCCTAAGCAAAGCTACAATGTGCATCAGATAACGGATACAAACATACCTAATTACTTTTTTTAGGCAACCGTAGAAAAAAAAAACGATTAGAAAAGTGACCTGACCGGCTGGCAAGGTTTATTTATTTATTTATTGTTGTCTGATACTCCAACCACAAGACACAAGTAATCATCTCATCATCAAACTTACCCTTCTCCTTGAAGAGTTGTTCGCGAATAGTGGAAGGTGGTGCCACGTACTCCTCTCGGAGGTCGGTACGTGCAGCCAATGCTTTGAGAGGGTTCCGCGAGGCAGCGTGACGCCTCTCGCGCTTGGCACGACGCGCCCAATCGCTCGCCAGTCTGTGGGGAAACAAATATACAGTCGTTAGTAATGTCAAGCGATGACCTACTGGACTCTTTTCATAACGAATGCTCCAAGACGGTTCTTGGGGCATTCATTATGAGATTGGAAACGCAAAGTGATTGGATTAATGTTTCACGAAAAAGATCGCCAAGTAGCAGTAAAGAGAAAAAAAAGTTACATCCAAGAATACACATTAAACTAAAGCTCGGTCTCCGAGCACGTAGAATTTTGTCCAATGACCCCAAGCTACCCATCCTTAGCGACTGTGCGCGAGCGATAAGGATGGGTAGTTTGGGGTCATTGGACGAAATTCTACGTGCTCGGCGATCAGACTAAATACATTTAAATTAAAAAATACTTGACAAAAATCCAGATTCTGGTATCAGCATAGTCATTGATGACCGTTGGGGCCGAAAAGTTCTGGAGTGGCAATAACAGGACTTGTGGAACCACGAGCTGGTGAAGGTAACGCGCTGGTCGTTGTGAAAATCCTTAAGCTAATCCATTGTCCAGCAGTTGAAATGAAGTAATAAAGCTCGTTCAGGAATACGAGTCCACATAACGATAAAATTCTTAGTGCTTGTTCACGTTGACTCGCGGGCGCGGTGGCGGGCGCGGTGACGAAATATCAAACATATGTAGTGATTCCACGTGTTCACGTACGAAACGCACGTGCGGTCTAACTAGCGGGCAAGCTAGCGACTGGTGCGCGCGGAGCGCTCGCGGTAATTTTAACGCGTGAAGATGTTTGTGTGTGTTCATGTCAAACTAGCGGCGGCGCGCGCGTTTCACTCGCGACGTCAGGTAAGTTCAACCAGTTCGAACTTGTCGCTAGAAACGATAGTATGTCACACTCGCGCGAACGTGGTTAATGTGAACACGAGCTCGCAACGTTTCCCGCGCCCGCACCCGCCCCCGCGCCGGCGCGTACCTACGTGAACAAGCACTTACAGCTTAGAATAAAGCTATATGTAACAGAAAGCATGTCAAACTTGTTATTTCCATCCACTCACAATTGCCTAGACCCGCTATCAATGGCGTCCAGGTCCACGTCTCCTCCCAGGTCGTTGGTCCTCTCCTGCTGCTGTAGAGGCGCGAAGAACGCGTGGAAGGTCTCATCATCAGCCCTCGGTACCCGAACTGCGCACCCGGTCTTCTCCGCGCCGGGGGAGCCTTCGTCTTCTGTAACAGAGATCAATTTTAAAATTTGTGAAAAATAAAAGACAGATCGCCTTAAATATAAGAATACGGTGTGAACTTGGTCATAGTTATACTCTTGCCCGGTAGGAACTACCGAAGCACAGAATTACTTTTTGGACAGTAAGTTCACTGGCATTGAAATTGTGAGATATAGTACTCAATTATTACTAGAAAATGCAGGCGAAGAATAAGCTTGGAAAGCTGGCAAGTTTTACATCATTTTTTTTACCATCACCATAACGATAAACCAAACCACTTCACAAGAAAGGGCCTACAGCAGTGTGGCGCAGACGTGTGCGATGGCGGCTACGCTGACCACAGCGCATGATACTGACTGAAGCAGTCCCGGTCCCTTCAGCTAATCGCTTTCATCAAAGAACTAGCTGCAAATCATTTGGAGTGACTCACTCTCTTCCAGCCTCGAGCTGATGCTCTCGCTGACGGAGTGGCTGCGCTTGAACGACTCGCGGTCGGGCCGCGCCGGCTCCTTCGGCTTCTCGGCGGCGGCTGCGCTGACCACAGCTACTGCTGACCTTCGGCTTATTACTTTTACCAAAGAACCTGCTGCAAATCATATGGAGTGACTCACTCTCTTCCAGCCTCGAGCTGATGCTCTCGCTGACGGAGTGGCTGCGCTTGAACGACTCGCGGTCAGTTCACGCGGGCTCCTTTCCTCCTTCAGCTTTTTCATTGCTGTCACTATCAAAGCATCGACTAGGAACTAGGGCATGNTTTAATATTTTCATGAATTAACGAAAACATATTATTATAGGACCTGGTTTAAATAAATTAAATGAAACCATCAATCGAGCTAGTAGGATTTATTTTATTATTCATCAATAATCAAATTCAGAACTTGAATATTCAACTGCAATGTCTGCTCATGAACGCTTCAGACTCGGTACTTCTTTCCCAATTCCATAAAATTCAACACTTAGAAAGTGACAAAAAATTTTAAAATAGGTAGTTGAAACAAACCACAGCTAATTTTCATAGTGGACTGTACTATACGATACACATGTCAGTCAATTTGACAACCTTTGTCGGAAACATTATTCAATGAAAATATTGCCGAACCCATGGACCTATAAAAAAAGGCGGACGGAACTCGCGCTACAACAAAACTGTGACGCAAAATTTTGGCGTTTGTCTATTGTGTGAGTGAATTTAGGGATGCCATGTTAGCCAAAACATTTTACCCATTTATTTTAAGAAAAACATAGATCGGCAGATGTTACTTGGAAATGTAGACAGAATTATTCCGTGCCATTTTAAAAGGATGAAAGGTGAATGCGTTGAGGTAGGCGCGAAATTTTCAATGTTCAAAGAAGAACGGTCACGCCCCATACAAAAAAAACCCAGACCCGACAGAAACGAGACATACCTCAGTTTTTTTGTCATGTCTTAATTAGTTAAATTATGTATTTTTTATATTCGAAATCTATGTATAACACCAAAATATTACCCTTTGTTTTTGTTGAGGCGTTATACAAAAACTAATACAAAATGCCTATTTATCACCAAAATTGGTAAATGTATGTACCTAAATGTCTATTACAGCTGCTATGGAATGTATCTAGGTGACCTGGAGCGAGGGTTTTTATGTTCCTGGTCAGGCTATAGAAAGGTTACGAACGATATACCTAACTCTACATTTTTGTAAATTATAAAATAGTAGCTTTCCGCCCGCGGCTTCGCCCGCGTGGAATTTTGTCTGTCACAGAAAAACTTTATTGCGCGCGTCCCTGTTACAAAAACCGGGATAAAAACTATCCTATGTTCTTTCCCGGGACTCAAACTATCTCTATGCCAAATTTCATCAAAATCGGTTGCGAGGTTTAAGCGGGAAAGCGTAACAGACAGACAGACAGACAGAGTTACTTTCGCATTTATAATATTAGTTGGGATGATAGAGACACCTGTTTCTCTATTGGACCATTCCGTATGGATCATTCCCAAACGTAAACACTGTTCTAAGTAAACTATTATAGGCGGACTTATATAGAGTAGGTATTCTCTTCCAGTCTTTTATATGATTTTGAGAGGAGTAAGTATTTAAACTGTCAGTGGACAGTCCACTGCTGGACGTAATACCTACTTCTTATAAATAACAAATGCCCCACAAAGCTCGATTTCCTGTTTTTCATCCAGCTTGTTCCTACTTAAGGTCTACAGAATCTTCTTGATATCGTTGATCCATCGAGTAGGTAGGTGTTGCGACCTTCCAGTATAATTACAGCAATTTTTTTGATGAGACAAATGTATTATGAATTTTAAAGAAGGCGTTAATTGTAAATAGAATTATGTCACCAATTACTCGTAGAGGTAATGATGCAGCAAGATAGTTTATGACTTTAAACATAAAATAAAAAGCGTGCTGTTCGTTAAATTTACTTTAATTGAATTTTATTTATAGTTATACCAGTTGTTCGAACGGTGTTGTGTGAAATGGAACGTGATGGTCAGCGCACGCAAGTCGCGAACACGTCTGCGCGGGCGCGGGGCGCGGGCCGCAGCGCGCCAAACGTCACTGCGCGCGCGCCTCTCTTCTGCCTCTTTCCCGCCCGCGCGCGCCGGCCCATTCAGCCACTCAGTGATAAACAAACCTCGCCGCTGCCCTCTTGTCAGACATGCCGCAAGTCTGACTTCCCGCTCGGCCACCGAATCCCGCCTTCATGCATCTGTGCCTACGATCTACGCAGCACAAGTGAGCACTTCGCACTACTCTTGTGCATCGAGCGCATAACATTTCGTACCAGAACACGGATCTCGAATGACCTCGGTGGCCTCTCGTTACAGATGTCAGCCTTCGCCGCAGGAGGAACGGCGGTTTTATCACATTTTGGAAAATGACTGAAGGTCTTCTAGCTCAACATGATAAGCCGGTGAGTAGTGGTGTTGTGTGGTGCGCTTAACCGCCGCCAGCAGTGGACTGGCTGGCGTGTTAACCAACAAGGAAGGATAGTTCGTAGTCAAACAATGTTGCCAGTTACTGTACAGGTAAAGGTAACAAGGCCGATGGTCGTAGCATAATAAGTTTAGCATAGCAACACATCAATGAATCGGGCATGTTTATTTAGGTAATAATTCTGGTAAATAACGCATTGGTAAAAATACCAAATTACAATGTTTCTAATTCCACTTTTCAAGAAGTAGTTATGCAGATCACCTACTTACAATATTTTGATAATACGTCATTCTAACATAAGATTAAAGTTTGATAAATGAGTTCCTCATAATGTAGATAGTTATATTATCGTCATTAGTTTATGACCGTAATTAAGTACCTACCTGGTGCAGCAGTGTTGCGGTGTAACAAATACTTACCAAAAATATACAAATACAGTTCCTAGTAGCAATTATAACTGTGTAATTGTTGTCATAGTCTATTTGAATGCCCAAATCCATAATGCAAGTTCATTATTCTAATTTATATTAGCCCAAGTAAACATCATTATCATAACGTACTATACTAGGCCAGTAGGTGTCAAATTTCTTCAATAACGCGCATGATTTATTGTAACAAATGACTCTAATGTAATGAGTCACTGTCAGCTAAAGAGTTACGACACTGACGACTGGGCACTATTTGCTTTTATCCAATTTGTTTAATTTACTATCCACTTCAGTTATTTCGTAAGTGATGTCGCTATGTCAACTTTTACATGCATAAGTAATAGTTAACTACGAGTACGTACTCTAAATCTGAATACTTCATTATAACAAAGTTCATGGTTTCTCTAATTCAAAAAGGTTATTCATAGCAAAATTATACAGTTCGTAAATAAACTCATATTAGTCTTGTGACGATTCAACCCAAGGATTATACAAATAACCAAATATTGCCTATTATGTTTGGTTTGGAATAGGAATGTAATACACTGCCAAAGTAAGGCCAAGGCAATTAGTGTTCTGCGGCCAAGGTCAGCCATATTGCTCCAAAATCTAATCGTTTGTGTTTGGTAAATTGACAAGCGAATTATGCGTTTGTCTACGAGTAGTGGACGTGCTTATTAGATATCAACACGTTTCGTGTCAGCGTGACGCACTAAACACCGGCATGCATCATTCGGCCGCCCACGTGTCTCCACGACACGAGTGCCAATAAACTCCATTTTCCTTTTACAATAAGTAGAACAGCTATACGGATTTCCATTTAAAATTGCGTATATGATTTTCATTTCAGGCTAAACAGGACCCTCAATGTAATGAAAGAAAAAGAGACCCGTAGCCCTAGTCGGGCGCTATTGTAGTTTCGTAGACAACGTTAACGTAGTTTCGTAGTTCCTGTGTCGTAGTCATAATTTCGTAGTAATTTCTCGTCAAGTCAAATAATGACGGTTGCTATTCCTACAGAGCCCTTCTACTCGTATTATTTGTATATTTGCCAAATTGTAGCCTAACTAATAATTCTATGAATTCTATAATTTTATGTTCATTATTACGACCAAATTACATGTATGTGGGTATTTTATTCATATTTATTTAGAAAATGCGACGAACTTTTATTGAAAAGTCGTCATTATTAACAGCGTTTTTATTACATACCTATATGTATGTACTATGGAACATTTATGTTTTGCTCTCTGACACTCACTGCCGTACCAAGTTACTACTTCAATACTTTTAAAGGGCACCATCTAAAGGAAATGTCGCCATTGTTTTTCCTGTCCTGTCAAATGACTTTCTAACTTATTTACATAAGGTCATTACCAAAACGTGAACGTATCATTATCAGTCGACAGTAGAGCAGCTGGAACGAGTTCTTATCATTTTATCAGCGTAACAGTTGAAGTAACATTCATACTCGTAAAATATGTCAGTGGTAAGAATTACGACTTATCATAGTTCAAACTTTGATAAGAACTTAAGTATCTACGTATTTGTGTATGGAAATTTCAATTTTAAAAGGTATATGTATATTAGGCTTAATCAACTCTATGAGGACGAAGTCGCGAGTATAAAGATAAACTACTTCCATTAAGTAGGTATGCTTCCATTAATCAAATGGTTTGTTCCATACATACATAATTAAGTAACATTTATAATCGTATTATTTAGTAATGCCGCCATTTTTGTCATTAAATTTCAGCGTGATGATATAATCAAACAGTAGAACTAATTATTACATTATTTATTGCAGCCTTGTAGGTTTAATCAATTTTGTCAAGAAATACATACCTACGTATGAAACATATTCTCATTTGCTTTTCATAATATTATACTTAGAATGTATTTTGATATACCAACTCGGTAAATGATCACTCATACAATACTTAGCCAAGAGAAACTGGTGTGACCAGACCGGGCGCAGCGCGTACCGAATTTCAACTGGTTTCGGCCATCACACACCTTCCTTATTAAAAACTTGATTGGTAAAACCGCGTTCTTTATCATTTTCAACCAAAATTTTCTAGGTTTCAACATCCGTGCTATTTTTACGACACATCGTAAAATGTGTAGTACAGTATGAAACTCTATTTTTGACAAACCTTTTTCAGTTTTATTATTTCAACATGGAAGTGTGTGTTTGTACAATAAAAACATTTTAATTTATACAATAAGCTAATACTCTCGACTGTGCTCTATACATTATAGGTTCCATGGTTAATCAGCATAAGTATGAGTTATAATAATATGACTATAGTAGAACCTACTGAATGTTTAAACGCAATTCCTTTAAGTAGTTTATTCAGTATGGCCTAATAAATAATGTTTATTACCGGGGGCTTTTCTAGTCTGTCGTTGGTAACATAGTTGTTATTTGGTAAACATTGAACAAAGTGATCAGCGTCGTTACTAAACCACGTCAGTTTCGTTATAGATTTTGATACAATAAAGTCGCATGTGTAGAGCATTCGAACAGAAAATAAATAGGTTGTATGTAGTTCTTGTCTTCTTAGAAACTGTAATTTTTGTTTCCAAAGCTCTACAATTAGTTAAAGTAATAATATGAATTTGGTCGCAAGGCAGATGATGCCTTCAAAATAAATGCATTACGAGCACCTATTAGGTACTTTCGTATTATTGTAACTTGTAAAATAACCGTTTCAGCAACTTGCGTATTGTTGTGAAATCAAATAGTATGAAAATGCTGACCAAATCGTAATTCAACCCAGCAGTATAACAAAACTTCGGTTTATTTGGCCGAGGCATTTTAAATAAGGGTCGAATTTTAACTTATTTTCAACCATAGATTAAACATAACACTGCGTGATACCTTTCTTTGTGAAACTTTTTACATACTTTGAAGTAATCAGTTTAGCTAGCTACTGTTTATCAAAACAGATTGCATGCATTAGTTTTCTTTCAATTTGTATTGGATAGAGTTCATTAAATATAAATAATTATCCTGAAAATCGGAATCGTGACATATCAATTACGAAGAAATTATTAGGATCGTAACAGCCACTTGATTAATGTGAGTATATCCTACTAAATTATTTATGATCATCAGTTTTGTAAGTCAGTGCAATTTTATCTTTTCCCTGAGAATGGCTGATAAAGTTCATAATTTATTATTTTTAATTTAAATACCTTAATCAAAATACCAACGCAGTTTTAAGCCTTGGGCAGTTGTTATGAATCCGGATTCTCAGCGTGTACAAACAGCAGCACATTGAGGAAAACTATTTTAGTTGAAATAAAAATAGAAGCTAGTCTTCCAATACATAAAATAAAAATCGCTTCTATTGATTTGAAAATATCAGTTACTTATTTGTTTTGATTGCACTTTACTAATAACCATTTTTGTATCGAAACAAAAATGGTTCTCAATCACGGATAGTTTTACAATTATCTAGAAAAACTCCTTAATTAAACTTAGTCGACCATTAAGTAAGGCGTTACACGTGACTAACTGGAATCCCACGAATACTGGCTTGTCTTTAGATCCGTTCACGGCCAAGGCCTTCGTCCAGTGCTCATTTTACGTAATCGCGGCAAATATTTTAATAATAAAGACACTTGGGTACATTTTCCACAGCACGCGTAGATTTAGGTTGGTCACAACAACTCGTAGAGTCTTATGAAAAAAAAACACACAATTTAAAATTGCACAATGCATCCATTTAAGGAACTATAGGTACCTACCTAATTAATAACATTCGGCAGCAGCTTTCTATCAGCAAAACAATAATCATACTTAATAATCTAATAATCGGACCTGTGACTCTACAAAAATACTTTTCAATTAAATTGTACAAACACACAAATAAACATTTAACATTTTGGTACACCGTAGATGGTACGATTGAGATAATTTATCTAGGTTTTGTAGATTCCTCTAGGTTTTAAAGGTGTTGAATATGATCGTACGTAACCAACTTCGGTCAAAGAAATGCTGAAAGTTGAATGTGGAAATAATGTAGAGACTTTATCGGTTATAGCGCCAGAGTAAATAAACTTTTAATTACATATTGCATTATTGCCATATACTTAATAAGGTGATATAATTTTCTCTAGTGAATTATTCTTGTGCATTATTTTTTTAGAAAAACTGAAAATGTTTCATGGGATTTTCGTAGCATAGAAATGAACCGGTAGATTTACAAAACCATAAACAGTCTTTCTTCGTTTTTCTTAGCTTCCTACAGCATTTATCGCTATTACATAATGTATTTGTATATTTTTAGGTATTATTTGAATGGATTAAAAATACTCAACTCAATTAGGTACTTACCTACATAAAATTTTAAATGAGCAAATGCTCAAATCAAGTTTAACTAATAATTATACATAAAAACTCTTATTATTGACGAGTATAGCCTGACTGCCTGATGTATATTATGGCTATTTTACTTAGTAGGTATTTTTTGTTTCGCTTGTTTACCTCTTCTTACGTAACCTGCTCTTAGTTTTGTTTCACTTACGAGCATGTTATGTATTATTTTTTACTACGTTATTTTCGTTTGATATGTGTTGTGAGAGATAAAATTGATGGAAAATATTCCGACAGAGTTTTCACGGTCAGACTGTACCGACATGTGATAACATAAATCCACAAAGTCGTAAACGGCAGCTCTATCTGCCTGGGCAAATGTCACTTAAATAAAATAAATAATAATCTCGGTGATTAGTGACGTCACCTTGCGAGTCGCGACTGATTGTTCGTTGTTTGCGGCAGATGTGTGTGCGCATATGGCTAGAGGTGGGGCACGCGTGCGAACCGCGCCGCTCCGCGCTGGGCCGCGCGCTGGCGCTCGACTGGCGGCTGTGGGTGCGCGGCGCTAGCGGCCGCGACATCAGCGCCTTCGTGCACAAGGTCGTCTTCCACCTGCACCCTTCCAGCGCCTTCGTCTACCCCAAGAGAGGTAACCGCCACGCTTCCACTTCCACCAGACTCGCACAAAACCCGCCTCGCGAAACAGGTTGAGATCGACCCACCTTGCCGTGGGCCCGGCTCAGATAATGAGAATGACCGCCACAACGTGACCACGCGAGGCGAGCGGTCGAACGAGTTCTCTGATTTGATTCGCGGCGAATAATTTCAGATTCACTTCTCCGTATGTCTCCCGGCGAACGGTTCATCATTAAACACGCTCATTATCGTTATCTCGCTGCTCGATAGCCCGCTACGGTGCCACCAATTATCTCTGCTACTTAACTACGAATTTGTTTTATGTTTACAGTTACAGTTGATTTACGTGCGAACGTCGTTTTTACAGTGCTCCAGGAGCCGCCGTACGAGATCCAAGAGTCCGGGACCGTCTCGATAGACATACCGATTCACGTGTACCTGAAATACAGCAGCGAGCCAAAGAAAATCCGTCTGAGGTACAGTTTGGAGATAGAGAACCACACTACGAGCAGCACGGAGACGCGGCACGTGTACTACGACGTGGAGAGCCCGCCCGAGCCGCTGTGCCGCGCGCTCATGCGCGGCGGCGGGCAGCTGGTGGCGCGCGCCGGCCGCCGCGCCGGCCGCCTTCTCGTGCTCGCCGACGCACACCGCGCCAAGCCCGACAAGACCAAAAAGTACAAATTCGTCGAGCCCGTCCCCTGCAAGCACCCGCCCAAGAGAGTCAAGCCGAGCGTGCTGGAGGAGATTTGCCCGAAATGCGGCGAGTCGACGCACGCCGACTTCAGGAAGCAGCTGCGGTCTGTGGGCGTGACGGAGGACGAGGTGGGCCGCGTGTCGCAGCTGTACCTGGCCTACAGCAGCTACGAGAAGGCGGCGGACGCGCTGCCGCTGCCGCCGCTGGCCGACCCGCTGTACCGGCCGCCCGAGCTGTCGCCGGCGCTGCGGGAGGCGCTCAAAACGGTCCAAATAGATTTCATGATACAGTGACCGCAGCTGTGACTCCTCCACTCCGCCGTCCCGTTTTGTGATATTAAAATAAAAGGTGCCATGAAAGACTCTACATTTCACGCGTTGACAGGGTGCTATCTAGTAATTACCATTATTTTTATACTGTTTTATGTTTAATTCATATAATATTATCAATAAGAAATCTATTTACTTTCGTTACTTATTTAATTTAACGTCTATAATTTAGTTAAACTAGTTGATTTATAATTTGAAGTACAAGTGCTGTGAGAAAGATCTCAAAACTGTTATCACTGAATGATACTAAAGTTGCTATGAATATTTTATCGTATCTGTTATCGTATTTTGTAAGTACCTAAGGTAATTCCATGTAAGTATGTTTAGTCTTTCTACGACAATTATTTATTCCAACAAATAATGGTTGTATGTGGTATTTCTTAATTCTGTAGTCAAAAAGGCTAGTTTTGCAACTTTGTGATGCCTGATTGTGTAAATATCTAGTCCGGCTACTAGATAAGTCTACATTACATACCTGTAATTAGTTTACTTCAGATTTTTTATTATTTTTTATATTTCTAGCATTCAGTCTAATCAATTAGGTACTACACCTACTTCTACATCTATTTATGAAAAATTATATTATGTATTAAGCTCGTATTGATAACAATCATTAATTCGCATCGCAAATTACATGGCTTTGTAGGTACACTTTACATTAATGCCTTTTTGAATGGGATGCCGATCTGTGTGAGATAAATAAATGGGTTTGCATGATCGTTATTATTACCTATGTTACCTACTCATAATCATGTAGGATTTTTGTTACAACACGTTGTGCCTCTACTTGGTAATCATACTAACAATCAACACGTTTAATATTCTGGCTATTGATTTCGCGGCATGCCAATATATCGTGCTGTTACATGAAGGCACCTACCGTCTGCAATTCCTCGGCGAGGATATTTTTGCACGCAACGGTATCAAATCGAGATTAAACTGCATTACCACTACCACTACTTACTTACTACGTAGGATCGTTACACCGCGTGTAGTATACTTAGCCATTCGTGTCGCTTAACTTCAAACTCGGATAAATCCAATTCTTAGATTTTTTGAGATTTTGGTGTCAAATCAAAGAGAAAAAAAATATCTTTTAAACATTTTTATCAGTCGTGTATAAATCAGCGTGGTTCTTGAGAAATAAGCCGTTAAAGTCGTAATATTTTATCTAAGAGAGATAGATCCATGAGACATTTTTTTTCAAACGTAGCTAAGTCCATGAGAGCCAATCAGGTAATTGCGTTTCTTCAACATGGCCGCCAGTTGACGAAAACTCAGCGACCAGCGGCACCATGCGCTCCCGCTTTTTAATGTTTATTTGCGATATTCAGACAGTTCCCATGGATAATTATATTAAAATTGTGTCACCAACTAAAGCCCGCAAGCGGCTTAATATAAAAGTTCGCCTTAGGAAAGAGGAAAAAGCGAAAACTCGTTAAATTTGAAATACCTATCCCTGTGCGGCGTTTGGAATTTTGAGTTGGCACTAGTGTTGTGTTAACTATTTTCGATTATTATTTTGTCCTTCTAATGTTACAGAATATTTAAATTGAAAAAGATGACTGAAGAAATATTGAATTTTGTTTAAAATTATTAAATTGGGTACTTCCTATTTTTATAAAATAAAAACTAGATTTTCTTATTTTGTTTTATTATTCTATTCAGTTTGCTGCTACTAATTTGACTGTCGATGGTAGGTATACCGTGATTTCGTCACTACCACATGTGCTACCACATCCCTAGCTCTAATCGTGTTTTTTCATAACTAGATAAATCCGTATCTATTAAATCAAAATTAGATAAATCCTCATTGCGTTTTTTCAAAGTTGGATAAATTGCATTCCATTATATCAAATGAAGGTAAATCCAAACTAAATATTAAATTTTTGGGAGAATGCGTGATTTAAATACTGAAATGAATAAACAGGATCATTTATTTCAATAGTAGTGCCATAATAAAAAAAAACTGCCTTTTAATTCATGAAAATAAGACTATAAACACTTTTTATTAAATATCTCCGAACAGGGTAGAGTGGATTTATCCGAGTTTGAAGTTAAGCGACACTCGGCCTTGCAATCGGTCAGAACTCGGTAGCATCATATTTGATGAAAAGAGACAATTCTCCTAATAGAATGATACCACAATCCCCAACTCCTAACTACTTACTTACCTACTTGGACCATACATGTAGAGATTGTTGATAGCATAATAGGATTGTAGGATTCGGAACGCCGCGCCGTTTGCGGATTTTGCGGTGCCTTTCACGATCATGGATTTTTTTCTCAATTCGGTGTCTTAAACTGTTGTGCATTAATTTGAATGAAGTTTGTTTAGATTTATGTTTAACTCACTAGGTTAAACTAACATTGTTGTTATTGCTCAAAACATTATTATAAGTTTTGTTATTTTTGTTAACTCTAAATTCGCATTAGATAAATATTTTTTGTTATTATTGTTTAGTTAAGAATGATTTAAGTAAGGTATTTCTTTAAAGTAATAAATAATTTTAAAGTTTATAAAGTTACATAAAAGTAGAGTCTTGTTGTTGTTATGTTGTAACAATGAACTACCTACATATTACATTATAAATTCCAAAACATGTTTTTTTTTGTTTGCAGACTTTAAATATTTTTACATATTAAACTAGCGACTATATTAAAATGTATATTTAGTTAATAATTTATTTTTCTTAAATCCTTATCATAATTAATCAGGGAGGAGGAGAAGGAGAGAGACTAGAAAAGTCATGAACCAACTAAGTACCTACATAGGGTCACAAAATTCACAAATACACCGCAAAAGATTTAATTTTTCGCATTAATATTATGTAGAGCCTCGTTACTTTTACGATGTGTTTCATGCTCATCTAATGGGGTCACGGGTTAAATTTTGGGGACACACTATTGGGTCATTAGGGGGAAGCCACACGGTGCGGTGCGGTGCCGCATCATTGTACACGTCATGGTGTTAGGCGGTGCCGCGTGCCGGAACGCACGGTCTGGCATATCATTGTATTTTATATGCAGGACGCCGCGACGTGTGGCTTCTCCCTTAGAGACACGTTTGTATCTGGGGGCACGGCAGTGCCCCCACCAAGTCGAGCAAAAAAGCGGCACGGCCGTACCATCCTTTTCTCGAAGCAATTCAGGCCATTTTCGACCGCCTGTAACTTCGTTGTGGATAAAACTAGAAGGCTGAATTTTCATTAGCTATGCAGGAATTGTAAAGACACGGTATATTTAAAATTTCATTCAATTTGAACCAGTAGTTTAAGAATTATAACGGGTCAAAGTTACTTAATTTTGTCACTCACTGACTCACTGACTGACTCACTGACTGACTCACCGATCATCAAAACTCTAAGGCACTTCTAGCAGACCTAGAAGCTTCAAATTTGGAATATAAGTAGTGTTTGGTGTATGAATCAAGGAAAAACTAAAATATTTGGGGGCACGGTAGTGCAACCGCCAAGTCGAGTAAAATTTTTCATATTTGCTCCATGCGTATGACAGTTTAACGCAAGTTTGTAACAAACAAAAAACAAACTTGATACTTCATCTTTGAAACATAGCGCAAAATGCAAACTTGCTTCAAAATTAAAAAAGCCTTGAAACATCATACCTAAATCAAAAAGCTTACAGCAATATTGCCACAAACTTGATTTGTCATATTTGACGTGACAATCTAATTTCAAATAAAAATCATGTTTGCAGCAAGTTCGCTTGCTATCTGGGTCGTGCGCAGTTTGGCTGCCGCACTCTGGACGACAATGGTTGGAACGACCGCACGAGTTCCTCACGTTTCGTCTGGCGCAGGTGCTGACCGATGGCTGCTTCGGTTCGTACCTGCATAGGATCGGGCGAGAGGAATCCCCGCTGTACCACAAATGCGGCGCGGCGGATGACACGGTGCAGGCGTGCAGCACACCCTCGCGGTCTACACAAGCTGGGAGGAGCAGCGCCGTGTCCTCACTGCGGTCGTGGGCCGGGATCTTTCGCTTCCGAGCCTGGTCAACGCCATGCTGGGAAGTGAAGGATGCTGGATGGTGGTCGCCTTTTTTTGCGAAGAGATCATCCTTAAGAAGGAGGTAGCGGAGCGCGAGCGGGTGAACGATCCTCTCGCCTCATCGCTCCGCAGGCGGAGAAGGGAGTGGAGAAGGCGGTTGTACGACCGTTCTACTCAGCCCCCAAGTGGCGGCCAGCAGGCCGGGGGTGCGGGGGCATCCTTGTCACCTCCGTCTGACGGAACGGCTTGGCGTTTCGGGCCATTCCCGTCGGACCCCCACAAGGGGGGCGTTTAGGGTCCGCCGTGTAGGCGAGATGTCGCCGGTGATATTGCGGAAGTCTAAGGTTACAGCCCGATACTATAAAGCATTTCCTCCGCGACAAAAAAGGGGGGCCCGAAACGAGCTGTGCCTAGGGGCCCCGAGAAGGTTAATCCGGCCCTGTTGATGGGTCTCTGATAAGACAAGGGAGGGACACATTATGAATTATTTTCAAAGATTGCAAGAATCCCTGGTGCCTCGGGCGGGAGAAGATGAGCTTTACTTTACTACAGGACGCAATTTGTAACGATACGTTGGCACGTGTAGGGTAGTAGCCCCTTTGCTTCAGTAAATAAATTAGTCCAACTGCTCGAGCTCTGAAGAAGAATTATCCGATCAAAATGGCAAGGGGCCAAGAGCAACGAAAATTAATTAATATTTTAATAACTAAGTATTAGTTTTAGTTGTTGGTTATTTATTGTATTCATGAAGAACAAGATTGATATTCCGTGTTAACCTACCCTCGTAATATTTTTTTATCCATATCATTTTCGAAGACTTGGCTGTCTGTATAGTATTATATTCCTTTGCATTTTATTACAAAAAAAAAAAGAATTTAAAAAAAAGCTGTCAAAAATTATGGCAGATGTCAACGTCAAAAAAAATCTGTGGAGTGGTGAATAAACTAAAGTTGAAGGAAAACAAGCATTGTGCTGATTTTCGATCGCAGAATTTACTCATTTCCATCTGTTTCGAAATCTATAGAAATTTATTTACGTGCACTAACTACATATAGCACTGTGATATCAAAAAAGCATTTACTTTTGTGGAGCCAACCAAATTTACAAACATGGTGTGTGTTCCTTGTTTCATCATTCCCGTGTTGTTATTTCTATGGCATAAGTTTATTCAGCCTTATGTTCTGCGCTTCTGGAATCCATGGGCCGTTAAAGATGCTGACGGAAACGTGAAAACTGAGTTCCCGTTTAAATGTGAAGGAGGAGTTTGCGCCTTTAGCAGAGGGTCTGGGAAGAAAGAAAAGCTAGAAGAAAAAAAACCAGATGACGTATCAGCTGATCCTTGCAATGACACTGCTCCTCCTTCTGACGCGAGGCTCAAAGCAGATTAAAACTCACCAAACGCTCGTTAGCCTTTACTCTGGTGGTAGTCCTTCAATGCATTTATATTTTCGTATCTGACTAGATAACTAATGAAAAATGAAATATTTTAAAGTTACAAAAGTTAAGTTTGGGGTGGTATAGATTTATTTTAAAAATAATAGCAAGAATCCACAAGGACTTTATAAACATGTGTTGTTGTAACCATGAATGTATTATTTAGTTAGGCGTTTTTAAACTTATGCTCCAAAGAGAAATTAAAAGAATGTCTCTTTCCAGATTTAATACCTGTATTTGTCTGAAAAACAATGTAACTATTGATGAATAACTATATTAAAAGGTTGTTGTTAATTTGTCTGTTTAGCTTTATTATAATTATGTTGCTATATGAGTATTAGTATCTATTATTTTGTGATATCCACACACAAAATCTTATTATAATAGAGTAGGCTGAGAATTTCAATGTAAATAACTATTTATTTTTTCAATAAACAATGAACATAACTAGTTCTTTCATTTTTAACTATTTTATGATGATAAGATGGTTAACTGGCAGATAATGCCTTATGGCATTAAGTTAATTAATAAATTAGTAATTTTTCTTGGCATTAAAGATTTAATATAAATAAGATGAATCTGAATAATACAGGCACAGATTTAGATAGTTTATTTGGATCCCTTATCTTAAAATGCTTTTACATTCCAATGTAAACATGGGTAAAATGCTTCAAGTTAAGAAAAATATTCAGTAGATTTTTTGAATGTTCAAAAAACCTTGTTCAATACAATGTTCAAAAGGGATATCCTAGTTCCATGTTGGATAATATTACTAATATGAAATAAAAGATTTCTTCAGTATGTAATTTTAAACTTTATTTCCACAATTAGATAGAATTCGTATTACTGCTACAAGGCAAACCTGTGTGAAATATTTGTACAATGAAATTCCATAGGTAAATAAATATTATTGATACTATTGCATATGTATAGTTATGTATGTATATGGCTGACTAACACTGTAGATCTAACTGAAATAAAACTAAATTCTACATTAGAACCAAAAGTAGGATGAGTGATAATAATAATAACTATGACACTTATTATTTATACTTAACAATAATAGTCGGAATTAAAGTAGGTACTTAATGCTATGAATTTATTTGATTATACGAGCTGATGCAGTGTCAGACAGTAAAAATATGTCACATCATCTAGAAACAATATTAGAAGTTAATGAAATGTAACACAAAATACTGTTTTGTGTGCTTAAATTTTATTGTTAGTGTCAACTTAAAATATTAATAGAACAGAACTTAAAAAGCTGCATAATACATAAAATATACAAACTATCTATGGACCAGCAAATTGAGGAAAATCATTCTTAGTAAAAAGTCCAGTTCAATTCTTACATACTAACTTATTTTTACAGAGCTTATGTTAATAGCGAATATGGCCGCATCTGCAACTATAAATGTGATATTACCAATTAAAAAACGAGTAAAATTAGTAACCAACTTATAGACTCTTATTAACGCAAAATAATGTAAATTTGTATAAAATGAAATGGTTGCAGATGCGACATGTTGGCTCAAAACTTCCGGCGTGTACCTGCATCAATCCAACAAGATGGCAACCATTCAACAATTTAACCAAATAACAACTTTTCACAATTTCACATTCATCGTCACTGGCATACTCTATTTTTGATGACTATAGAACACTTCACTTTACATTTTTCAATTCTACATCAAATACTAATGTTGAGTTTGGTGGAATCACTGGAGGGGATCCTTTGGCTCCATACCTGTCACAGATAACGAACAAATTATTAGAACTATAATTTTTGAAAAATATAATCATAATAAATTATTAGATAATAACTTACGCCATTGCAGGTGGGCAGACGATCTTCCTCTTGCCTCCGACTTTCATGCCAGCGATGCCTACGTCCCACCCTGTGATGACTTCCTTAGCTCCCAGCTTGAACTTGAAGCCAGGCCCCTTCATGCAGTTGTCAAACATTTTGTTGTTCTGTTTCAGACGACCTTCGTAGTACACCTGTACAAATATTAATTTTACTATTAAATACTACAACCTATTCAAATACAGAATCTTGCAACATTTAAGTTTAAAAAGAGGTCAGTCGGAAGACATTTTGCCATTTAGATAGAACAAATTAAAATGGTGAAAGAACATTCAAAATTATTATAAATTTTAGGCATGAATAGTAGCTCAGTTATAATAAAGTAATATACACTCGACAACAAATAAATCGAACCACCCGCGACGCGAACTTTAAAGATTTTCTTTTGACACAATCATGGTGCCCCAACAATATTGGTGTTATTTGAAAGCCCAATAAATATCCTTAAAGAAAAACACATATACCATAAATGTGACTTGAAAAAAGACCTCACTTTGGGCTCACCTCTGGGATCAATTAGACCAAATTTTATGGTTATAAAACCAAATAATGATCACACGTGTCCTCTTTAACAGATGGATAGCGATTAATCCCAACTTAACAGTTTTATAGCCATAAAACTTGGCTCAAGCGTAACTATCTATTTTTTGAAGAAGTGACTCTGGATCCTTCTAAAGAAACATTTTTGGGGTAAAAACCTTTCCTATAATGAAATGAAGTTTAGATCTAGGCTTTTGAATGGTACCAATATTGGTGTGAAGTGGGGATGCATACGTTTGAAAGTGCTTGTTGCGGGTGGTGCGATTTATTTGCTGTCGAGTGTAGTATAAAAAGGATAACTAACCATAACCACTTTGCCTGGTTTAGCAGGGGCTCCAGTGCCAACCTTTGTGTCTTCAATGAAAACTCCACCACTGAGAGTCTTCTTTTCTTTCTTGTCACCAGCATCTTGGCTGTCTTTCTTGGCATCTGGCTTCTTCTTCTCAGCCTTTTGCTTTTCTTCTGGTTTTTCCTTCTATGAAACAAAAATATATTACTTTAGATTACATTAATAATGTTTCCAGTTTAGTCTTTTAAATCTAAAACTTCAAAAATTTCATGGACTCAATCACCTTGTCTCACTTTAAAATCAAGTGATTTATTTACTGCCAATCAGATGAATGAATGAAGCGAAGGGTTTTTCAATGGACAGCTTGAATAACTCTGATATAGCTATAGCCTTTAGGCTGACATAATTGTCAGGTAAAGGACATTGGGAACTTTAATATGAGAAAATGCCCCACGGCGGACAAAGATGAAACGTATTTTATTTCAAAGCTTTATACTTGTAGGTATATTCACTTAAAGCGCTATGTTGTGAGATATGGGAATTCTGAGATATGACGAGTCTAAGTTGAAAATATATTTGTCTAAAATGATTTGATATTTTTACATGTTATGTTGTTTGGCATTGCAGAGTAACCAATAAAAGTAAATAAAATAAAATAATATAAATAAATAAAAAATATAAATAAACAAAATATTATAAATACTTAAATTAATATTAGACAACATCTCATATATTACTCCAACCCAAAATAAGTAGCTAAGGTATTTGTGTTATGGAAATCGGGAACGACGAACCACAACACACCCAAACCAGAGACAATGTGAAAAGATCGTTTTCTGTATTGTCCCGGCCGGGAATCGAACCCGGGACCTCAGGATTGGCCCGGCACACCTTGAAAACCGGTGTGTGCGCCTCTCCGCCACGGAGGTCGTCAAAAATGTTACCTAAATGTAAAATAAAATAAAATATTAAAACTTCATTTTCTCAATATTCCCATATAAGAGAGAAAAAAAATGCACGGAAATTCATTGGATATTAGTATGTATCATCTGTGATAGGTTTCGTTTGTGTCCGCTACTTTTCGAAAAGTGGGGCAAAAAGTTCCCAATGTCATTTAGTTGAAAATCTAGTCTGGTCGCCGAGCAGATAGAATTTCGCACAATGACCCCAAGCTACCCATCGTTATCACTCGCGCGTAATTATATTGCTGTCGCGACTGTGCGACGGGTGGCCGCAGTGAGTGTGCGAGCGCGACAGCAATTAATTACGCGCGAGTGATAAGGATGAGTAGCTTGGGATCATTGTACGAAATAGACAGTTTGACACCATACCCAATAATTCAAAACCACAACTGTTTTAAAAAGACTTCATTCTGGTCTTAAAAACCTAATTTATTTTAAATTACCTGTAAATTTCGATTTTTGTTCGAATTGTAATTGAAAAAAGTAGTTTAATTGGGTTGACAAAATAGTGACGTCACTTGCTTGTATTGTATAGATGACCCACGCTGAACTGTCCCGCCAAACTCAATGACAGGGGGGCGCTACCATCGTTCAACTATATGGTTTCCAACATGGCAAAAATCTGAACCAGCGATCCGGTATTGACGGTGGCGCCCCACTGTCAATGTCATCGACAGGACAGTCCAGTATTTTGGAACTATAGTGCCATACAAAATCTATGGGAGAGTTTCGTTTTGACAGTTTTAAAAAGTACGTCAATTGACTGTGGTGTCAACATGTCTATTCTATCTGCTTGGCGACCGGACTTTAGTATGTAGCCAAAACAAGACCGAGACAAATATATCCTACCTTTGCTTTGTCTACGCCGTTGACCTGTGGCTGCTCCTTGCCCTGCTGCTGCAGCTTCTTCTTGAGGCGGCGGCGCTGCGACTTGCTGAGCTTGGACATGTCCACGGCTCCTTACGCGCGAGTGATAAGGATGGGTAGCTTGGGATCATTGTACGAAATTCTATCTGCTTGGCGACCGGACTTTAGTATGTAGCCAAAACAAGACCGAGACAAATATATCCTATATCCTACCTTTGCTTTGTCTACGCCGTTGACCTGTGGCTGCTCCTTGCCCTGCTGCTGCAGTTTCTTCTTGAGGCGGCGGCGCTGCGACTTGCTGAGCTTGGACATGTCCACCTTTTCTTCCTTGCTGGTGTCGAGCGTGCTCTCCGCCTCGTCGGACGACTTCTCGTCTTCTTCTTCCTCGTCCTCGGCCTCCTCTTCTTCCTCATCCGATTCTTCTTCATCGCTGTAATGGTTTGTTAGTATATTATAGAAATTAACTGCAAAATGTGTTGGTAAGCGCATAACTCGTTCATTGAAATCCAAGGATGTTTTTTTTTTTACGACGATATCGAAGGCGAGTGGCGATAAACAGCCCTTTTTTCCGGGCGGAATGCTAGTTGTTGATAAAATTAAATTTTGACAGTTTTTTTAGTTAAATAAGGGGTGTAGACTATCAACGCTATTAACGCCATCTTTTGCCTTTCTTTTTTCTAAATATAAAATATAGTATATTTGGCATGTTTGTAAATAACAAATAAATTACAACAAGAAGATTCATACATAGTTACAGTAAGGAACAGTAATAAGCAACATTACCTATCACTTGCTTCACCAGATGTGTTCATCTTGAATGACTCATCATTCTCATCTGTGTCAATGTCTTCACCGTCCAGAAACTTTTGGAGTTGGTCCTCTTCATCATCATCGTCGTCGTCTGAACTGTCTGCAGCTGCTTTTGCTTTTTTGTCTTTCTATAATGGAAACACAGAATGTTTTTAAAATAATTGTATGTAATAAGTACCATTACAAAACTGACAAGCAATTTTGCTTCCTAAGTTCCTACCAGTTAAAATAGTTTCAATGATTCTGATAGAATTTGCACTCAAATAAAGTTGTAATCAAGGTTGTATTCAAAGATAAAATATTATGAACTGTAAAATTATATGGATAAAAGTTGCCTCATCACAAATATGAGTCAAAGATACAAAAAGAGGCTAACTACCCAAACCAACTTGTTGTGCAACTCACTATCCCTGAAGCTAGGAGGCGACTGAAACGATGGATCTGGATATGAAGAGCCAGAATTAATCATGGAGGGAGTCCCAGTGAGGATTCTGCTCTCATCACTTTTAATCACAGAAAAATCTGCTCCGTCTACTGACTGATTGCATGATAGAGTAAACTATAAAAATACAAGTTGCCTAAGTTATTAGGTTAACCAACCTTGGCTTTCTTATTTGCCGAAGCGTCGTTGCTATTCTCCAGCTTCCTCTTGGACTTGGCAGGGGCCACGGGCGCGGGCTCCTCCTCCTCCTCTTCTTCTGCATCATCCTCCGACAACTCCTCGTACTCAGGGTCGAGATATCCAGTTAAATGAACATTGCATTTACCTGTGGACAATAATAATGTCACATTCGATCAAATTAAGCAGGGAAGAAAGAAAATCATGTATTTCATTACAAAACGATTTACGATGAAGCCCAGACTGTAAACTGTTTGTATACCTATTACAAATAAATAAATAAAAAACATTGTGCAAGTTCATCAATCAGCATCATTTATCTGTCAGTTCATACTGTTGAGTGTTTAATTTTATTATCACAGGTTAATTAATAACAATTTTGATTACGAAATTTAATGTATGTAAAATATCTATCAAAATTTGAACCAGATAATAAAAAACTTACATCTTATTCCAATGCTACATGGTAATTAAACTTAGGGGAACATTGCATTGCATAATAAAATTATGATTGCAATTTTATTATGCAATTCTCAACATGAAAATATACTCACCATTGGTCAAAAAAGCTATTGAGTCCCCACTCTTGAAGTACAAGTCAAGTGGCACCTGCACACTTTTGGTCTTCTGGAGTGTGCACACCAGGAAGTTTTTGCCATCTACCACCACCATAACTTGGCAGGGGTCGTTGTCACCGGTGGAAATATCTATAGCGGCCTGCGATATGTGGAAGGGTTTCTCCACCACTTGAGCATACCGCTTGTTCGGTTCCATAATCAGTCCTAAAAACATTATATCCAGACATGACTCAAGAACTTACGAGAGAACATCTCAAAACTAATGTGTTTATAACGTGTGGAGTACTAAAAGTATTTATTTCAAACGTTATCACAGCCGAAGTAAGCATGCACGGGACCAACCATGTCATGACAGCTAATCATTCAAAACAATGAAATCAATGAATTATCACGTGCAACAGGATTACACTCAAGTTCCATTGACTTTAAAGCTTTAGAATTGTAAAATTATGTTAAATCTTAAAAGCTAGGGGCATGGAAATCGACAACACGTGGTGATACATTTGCCGGTTAACTTACCCCAAAACATCTTGGCAAATTTGAATATCACTGATTCTAATTAAATAGTAAGCCTGTTCAAGGCTCCACGTAACTTCCAAAGAACAGAATTATCCAAAAGCAGATGAAAAATTTATTTAAAAAACGTGGATTTTACGAAACGCGGCAAATTCCACCATTTACCGAACCGCCGAAGACACAACGAAACGAAGAAAGAACCATAGAGAAGAAAGATTTCTGCTGAATCATAACTAGGGATGTAAAAACCGATTTAAAATTTATATTGAGTTTTCAATTGAATGTTTCTTTGTTTCAGCCACTCACGTACGTCTACTGCTGGAAAATGACAAAAAGCTTATCAAAAAGGCCTCGCCCACGTAGACAGAGAAAACTGTTATTCTCTGCCTACGCTCGCCCAAGCATTTCCTTAACGACCGGTCAATGCTAGACGGACTAATTCATTTTTATACTTATGGTGCTTTTAGCGTTTGCTTTTTCAGTAGGTATTCTAAAGTTGATCCATTCACAAATTAATTAACGGATACTTTTTCACTTTAATTAAGTACAGCGTATACAGACCATTGTTTCGCAACCTTTTATGATATATAAGAACTAGAAAAATCTCTTCGTTGTTTGTATTTGTTCAAAAAATCATTTTGTTTGCGTTTAGAATCGTCAGAGGATAGTAGAAGAAAATCAATGGTATAAAAATGTTGTGCTTATAGCCGTTGCATTATAAAGAAACGTCAACCATAGAGAAACATGGTTGTTACAGGTTAAAAAAAACTTTCAGTTATTATGTCATCTTGACGTTTCTCACTTCTTTTTGTTATCTGTCAAAAGACGAGAACAGTGTTTCAGCCATGGTAAATGTCGAAATTTATTAGAAAATCTAAAGAAATCTTTACAATCTTTCTTTTTTCTGCACCGTAAAACTATCTACAAAATGTTGTTGATATAATATGTGCGTCCAGATGCTTATTTACCGACTTCTGTGTTTAATTTCTAGGGTCGTGTCAGGACTAAGACCGTCAAGAAAGCGGCTAAGATCATCATCGAGAAATATTACACAAGGCTTACCCTTGATTTTGATACCAACAAAAGGATATGTGAGGAAATCGCTATCATTCCTACCAAGCCTCTGCGCAACAAAATTGCTGGGTAAGTACTGTAACCTCAAATTTATTAGTACCCAGTGTTTTGAGTAGTATTTATTGTTTTGAAATCTCATTTTGTAGTAATTAAGCTCAGAAATAAATTAACTGATTGCTATGAATTAAATGTAAAGAGCCACCTATCTAAAATAGTGATATCTTTAATTTTTGTTTGTATGGGCTTGTATGTTATTGTTTTCTCTACACCATTCTCCTATTTTTCTACATAGTTCTTAGATGTTATAAATTGACATGTAGCTGTTACTAAATCTGTTGTTTTTCTAAATCATCATGAATTCTACATACCAGAGGTGGAATTGTGTAAAGCAATCGTTATCATTTGACAGTTCATAACGTACGATTATTCTGTCAAACGCTTTGTTTAAATGACTTTATCATACGTTATGAACTGTCAAATGATTACGATTGCTTTACACAATTCCACCTCAGATCCAGATGTAACCAGTGGTATTTTTCAAATTAATTTTTATTGTACCGTTTTACAGATTTACCACTCATTTGATGAGGCGTCTCCGACACTCCCAAGTCCGTGGAATCTCCATCAAGCTGCAGGAAGAGGAGCGTGAGAGGCGTGACAACTACGTCCCTGAAGTGTCTGCCCTAGAGCACGACATTATTGAGGTAGACCCCGACACCAAGGACATGTTGAAGATGCTGGACTTTAACAACATCAACGGTCTGCAGTTGACGCAACCTGCCACACAGGGTGGATATGGTGGCAGGCGTAATTAATAAACTAATTAATTAAGCTATTTCTGTGTTTTATTTCATAGATATTTAAATTCTCACATCTTGACCATTCATGTTAACACTAGGACGTTTTTTTATACCTATCTAGGTATCTTGTTATTATTTAGTGGATCCTGGATTCAAGTATATACTACCCCATTTTGTATAAAATTTTACATTAATGGTTGACTATCTAGTCTACTTATGTTCTACTAGCTGAAAGCTAGCTAGCGTGAACTTATCGTCATACTCATAAAATTAAATTACCTATATTCTGGGTTATAAACTATATTACTGTAAAGATTCATCAAAATCCGTTCAGCAGTTTTTGCGGGAAAGAGTAACAAAATCCAGACATCAAACTTTCGCATTTATAATATGAGAAGGATTTTAACACTGGAATATTGAAAGCTATGTTAAGTTAACACTTATTCTACTTTCTAGACAGACTAAATAGAAGTTAAAAATGTTAGACAAATTAGGTAATTCTTTTTATGAAAAATTTGTAAGCTCTAGAGCCATGCTAGAGCTTTTTTGGAACCGCCCTTAAAATGTACTATTTGCCGCCCATCTCGCATCTCGATGCGATTCGGCTTTTGTAGTAGGTACGACGACACAGTAGTAGGTATTTCCAATGATTCACGCTAGATGGTGCTAAATGAGCAACAACTAGATAAGAGTTCAAATTAGTGTGGACAGAGAATAGTAAGAATGATAATGATGCTGTACCTACTTATATTAGTGTAGCACATACAAATTAGTCCATTCTAGAAAAAGTGCTTATAATAAAAGAAGATTATTATGATTTGAATAAACTAAAATAGTAAAATACTTAGTATGTGTATCCGAACGCATAAATTGTTTTGTTAGTGGTTATGGCTGTCTCGCTCACTCTTGTGAAAAATAAATGTCGGTGTCGCTTTGATTTTTTGGGCTTGTTCAGGAAGGCAAGCACCTTGAGCTAACTGTGCTGTGTAATATTTTTAATAATTCAGAGTTTTAATGAATTAAGTCATAACTTTTTTATAAGCATCAACAAATTCTTATTATGAAGAATGGAATGTTCACATTTATTAGATAACGTCAAGGTGGATAGCGATCTCATCGTTGAGGACACCGCGATCACAAAGAACTTCAGTTGTTCAGGTAATTATAGCTTCGTTTGTAAAAGTACTCAGATGTGCCAGGTGTTCACGGATCAAGGGATTCTGTTAGACGCTATGTCGTTATTTCCTTGGGAGGTTAGTTTAGAAAAATCAATACAGTGAACTCCAATAATCAGCTGTTCGAAGGGTGCGGGAGGGGGGAGTCAGCATGGATGACCGTGACTGATGTTGCGTTTCGCATTTCTGACGCGTTGCGATAATATTAAAACCACATGACAATGGCTAGCTATTTTAGACTACTGGCCACTGGATGAAGTATTTCCCCTAGAACAAAATTTATGATGGTCGGCGTCGCAAGCGGATGGGGCGCGCCTCGCCGCCGGCGTCATGCTTGAGACATTTACGCAGTTCCTTTAGTGAATGTCTAATCATATTCCCCCAATTTATGTATATCAGCTTCTGCAAACGGAGCACAAATATATTCAAATCATTTTTATAAGTGTGTTTGTTTACTCTCATCTCCTATTGTCATACTACTTTTACAGAATGTGGTGTGAAAGATCAGAACTGGCTATGTCTGCAATGTGGAGTGGTGAATTGTGGTCGCTACGTCAACGGCCATGCAAAGCTACATGCCGAGTCCCAAGACCACCAGATGTGTCTCAGTTGTGATGTCTATTCAGTGTATTGGTAATAACAAAACACCTAATTTGAAGTTGCTTTAAAAAAATCTAATAAGATTTTTATTTTAATTATTTGTATTTACAGCTACAAATGTGATGACTATGTTTCCAACGACACGGAAAATAAAACAATAGATAAAATAAGACAACATTTGATGCAATCTGGAAATGCAAATGATGAAAATACAAATGATATTGTTGAAGCAGTAAATGGAAACAGTAAAGAGGTCACGAAAGATGGAAATGCTTCATTGACTTTGAATACGTCTGAAAACTGTAATGAAAAGCCTGATCAGTCCCCAAGCAGCATTCAGGAGGAGTTGTCAAACGCAGATGTGGCCTCTGGCAGCCCGTGTAGTGAAGCATCTGGTAATCTTAATGTTAATGCAGAAACCAGTGAAAGTAAGCCATCGAAAAGCACTAAGGTATGCCAATATAAAATATGACAATCTCTAGATCACTGTGATGATATGAATGGTAGTTATTTAAAGAGTATTTTTTTCAAATTTCAGAATGTAGACGAGCCAGTTAGAAGTTTACGACCCCGATCACGCAAAAGATCTCATTCAGAGGATAGTAGTTCTGCCGAGAATAACTCCAGCCAGCCATCCAGAACCAAGGAAAAGAAAATAACCCCCTGCAACGGCAAGAGCCAGAGGGAAAAGAAAATTGTAGGATTAAAAAATTTAGGCAATACTTGTTTTATGAATGCAGTTTTGCAGAGTTTGAACAATATACAGGAATTTAGTTGCTATTTTAGTCAGTTGCCATCACTTGAGGTGAAGACGAATGGCCGGAAAGTGTACCATTCTAGGAGTTACACGCGACAAGAGATGCACGATGTTGTTATGGCTGAGGAGCTTCGAAAGGTAAATAACTCATACATTTTATTTATAATGTGATGACTGCTATAAATATAACCTTGAATTATAAACACATCCTGTAAGAAAAAGAGCTATTGTTGGTAACTCTTTTGACACTGCTGTTTAGCACAGTTACAGCAAAGGAATTGGTTGTACTAAATTATGATGGTCAGTCTTGGCTTACATTAGTTTATCTAATTGAAACTATTAATGTTTCTCATCTACTACTTTATGGAAATTGAAAAACATTGGCTAATAGATTCCATAAAAAACTTTATAAAATCAAAGTTCTGAGTCTTACTCACACAAAACGTTTTTCAATTCCATTTAAGTGATGAATAATTCAGATACAAATAATTATCAGCTAGTCTGTTTGCTATATGATAAAACCAAACAGTGCAAAGTTCACAGCTTTCTTATGTAGTAACAGGAAAATATGAATTGTGACATGTATGAATCACATAGTCATTAATTCAATCAACAGCATGTTATTTCACAAAGCGTTTTCGATATATCTGAACTACCTGTCTCTATTACTCGCGTGTGGATTGTGGTGTAATAGGCAGATGGAGCTAAATAATTTATATCCAAACTGTTTTCAGTGTCTTATAAGATTTGTGGTATAAGGCAAACTAATTTAAAAGAGCTGTGCTAACTACCTAGACCATGATCAAAACTTACACACCCTTCATCCTTGTTGCTTTTTTCTCTAAAGGTAAAATGCCAAGATCGAATAACAAATATTATTGCATCACAACTGCATAAATTAAGGGCCTAATACGCGCGGAATGCGTGTATCGAAAAATAGTATAAGTATCGCAATGTGGCGCGGTCGCGTGAGACCGGTTGCTTTACGCACCCGCAAAAGTTTTACAGACTATAAGTTACACAACCAAAATTAGTTTAGCCGGATTAGCGTTTCAGAACGCGCTTGGGCGTTTCCGAGTTTCCGATTATTCAGAGGGCTCTGCATTTATGTTTCTTAATATGGAAGCATAGATCTGGCAATGACTACGTAACTTTCCTATAAATCTGTCTGATAACAAACCGTCTCGACCAAGGGGGCGCGCAATCCTCATCACGCGTTGCTTCCTGCAGTTCCCGCTGAAAACCAGTTTCTCGACATGATGTTTGTGTCATGTCGCGATTTTTGCTGTTCACTGTTCAGCATATTTTTAAGATAATTATGTACTTCCAAGTCAAGAGCCTAAACAAGAGGCAAACATTGCAGGTGCTGATAAACCTAAACACCGGCGGCTGCGGCTCGAAGGCGGCCATCTCGCCCGAGTGCCTGTTCCTCGTCATCTGGAAGGTGGTCCCGCGCTTCCGCGGCTACCAGCAGCAGGACGCGCACGAGTTCCTGCGCTATATGCTGGACAGGTTCGTTGGCTGACGCTACGTTATAAACCTAAACGCCGGCGGTAATTATCTCACGCACGATCGTGCGTGTTGACGTCCCATCTTTAAAAACTTGTGTACATGGGCCCTTACTTTAAGAGCCTTAGAACTGGTGGTTGATACCAGCCTACACATCTTTAAAAGCATGACCTAAAAAGTTTTATCAGCTTTTAAATCAATAACTGGTCAGTTAATGAGGGCTATCGTTTTTATACTTAACAGTTGGCACCCCTGGCGATTGACAGGACCTTACTCTACAGTGGCGCCATCTTGATTAGTGCAAATGCGATAGTCCTCCTACCACTTTCGCGCTCGCCAGTTGGTGCCACTGTCTTTGCTACTAGCAAGTGACAGGACCTTACTCTACAGTGGCGCTAACTGGTGAGCGCTAAAACGATAGCCCTCATTTAGTTTGCGTCCTGATGACGTCATAGTCCCCAAAAAATACTGTCAACTGAGGGAATATCTCACATCTAACTTGTTCCACAGGCTGCACACAGAACTACTGCAACTGCTGCCGCCGGAGCGCGAGGCGCCGCGCGCGCCCGCCGCTTCCATCGTCACCGCTGTGTTCGGCGGCACGCTGCAGAGCGAGGTATACTCACTTCAGCCTGTGCAAATCCACTGCTGAACGTAAACTTCCATCAAGGAACGTCACGAACTACGAATCTTCTGCTTTTTCATCCATTCTCCACCCTCTTTCTACCTCTTTCTCTCCCAGCATAGCTTTGGTTTCCAACAGAGGGATCTCGTGTCTTAAAAATTATGCTCGAAATTAAATATAAACGGAAGCATAATTTCAAGCGCGTAGTTGGTTACAATTTCAGAGCCTTACTACAAAAAACATTGGTTTGAAATGACATTGGTTCAACGCGTGTTTAACTTTTTGTAATAAGCCCTCAATGTTTAGAGTATCGCCCGAATCTATTCTTAAATGTAGTTGCATATTTGAGTGCCTGTTCATGTACGAATATAAATGTACATCAATGCTTGTGTAATGCAGGTACGCTGTCTAGCGTGCGGTACGGAGAGCAAGAAGTTCGACCCGTTCCTGGATCTATCGCTGGAACTACCGGACGCGGGCCGCCACGACGCGCCCGTGGCGCTCCACGACTGCCTCTCCAGCTTCGTGCAGGTCAGTGAACTTATCGCTTTAGCACTGGATCGCACGAGCGTGAGGGCATTCTAGTTGTTAACATTGACGTTGTTTTTAAAACAGGAAGTTGCTGGAGCGCACGAACGTGAGTTCTAGTTCTAACGTCTGGAATCTCGGAAACTGCTCCCGCTCGACCACTATGGCTACGCTACCCGACGCTCTTTATTAGTTCTCGAGATAGTCTTCCGTTCAAGTCCTTAATTTAAACAAAACGCATTTTTTATGTCATATTAACGACTCGCAAGAGCTATCTATTACGAGAACGCGGCGTTTGACATTGCGCCAGGTGAATTTGAATGTAATGGACGCCACTACACATTTAGACGGCTCTTAGTGACGCTTGAAATCTCATAAAATCACGCTTCGTCTCGCCATGTCTTGGATTTTTTCCAACTTGTTCTTTACACCCTGTGTTATCTTCACAGGTGGAGGAGCTGGCGGACACGGAGCGCTACTTCTGCAGCAGCTGCAAGTGCAAGCAGAAGTCCACGAAGCAGTTCTGGATCCGGCGCCTGCCCAACGTGCTGTGCCTGCACCTCAAGCGATTCCGGTGGCATAATTACTTTAGGTGAGTGGGAAAAACTTATTATTGCAGACTTTAAGCAAACACTAGACTTTCAATATAATCTACTACACAACTCTACATAGTTTGGAGCTGGAGGCACAGTGTCAAATTTACAAGGATATTTTATTTATATATCCGATATCTGTCTGTTAGTAAAACAGTCTTGAACCGTATTTCATGGACTGCTTAATTTTACAGCAGCCCTTTTTTGCGGCTATAGCAAAAAATAAAAATAAGGTTTGGGAATCACATACAAGATATAGAAGATTGCGTTTTCGGTTCAATCTAGAACCATGGTACGAGAGCGTACGTGCGTGCGTGTTGACTCCCACTAATTAATCAAAGTATTTGTTACAGAACCAAAGTGGACACCAGCATATCGTTCCCGCTGCGCTCTTTAGACATGTCGCGCTTCGTGCTGGCCAACCTGCCCGACACGCGGCGCTCGGGCCGCGGCTCGCACGCCTACGACCTGGCCGCCGTCATCGTGCACCACGGCTCGGGGTCAGTATACATCACGAGCGTGCGTTCCCGTTGCGAAAGGCATTCTGGCCAGCAAATCATAGATGGTCTTCAATACAGCGACGATATAGACGAATCTTATTAGCACATCGCTTTACTTCCGACTGTCTCCTAAACTTCAGAATCCTCCAAATTCAATAATTAAGACGACAAAAGCCCTAGCCAAATGCTAGTTTTGTAGTATCGTGGGGAACCCATTTCCAGAACAGGCATATATCTAATTCTCTGGTTGGGGTTTGTGCCATGTTGGGAGACCGTATGAATAAGACAACAGTTGGTATTAGTCTCTGATGTTAGTCTGTTTATTAATGCGGACTGCGTGACTATTTATACGATATATATTAAAGGTAAATGACGTCACAGCATCAACACTATACGTGATAAATGTGCTGACACTGTGAACGTGATCAAGATAAGAAATGAAGAGATTAAGTATTGTGCATACCGGCACAGGGTTCTTAACAGGAATTTCACTCACGTGTGCATCACAAATGACTATCATCATTCCTCCACAGAGCCGGGTCCGGGCACTACACCGCGTTCGCGATCAACGACGAGCAGTGGTTCCACTTCAACGACCAGACGGTGCGCGCCACCGACGCGGCCACGGTGGCGGCCTGCAAGCCCTACATCCTGTTCTACATTCGCCGCGAGCCCACGCTGCCCGCCGCCTCGTGACGGCCCGGTCGCAAGGCGCACGCCGCACCGCACGAGCGTGAGGGCATGTTAGTTCTATCATTTCTGACGTTGTCTGTAAACCCAGGAAGTCGCGCAGTGCACGAGCGTGATGGAATTCTAGTTTTAACATTTCTGACGTTTGTAAACCCAGGAAGACGCCGGAGCGCACGAGCGTGAGGGCATTTTAGGTCTAACATTTCTGACGTCTGTAAACCCAGCAAGTCGCTAGAGCGCATGAGGGTGAGGGCATTCTAGTTGTAACATTTCTGACGTTGTCTGAAAACCCAGGAAGTCGCGCAGTGCACGAGCGTGATGGAATTCTAGTTTTAACATTTCTGACGTTTGTAAACCCAGCAAGTCGCTTGAGCGCACGACCGTGAGGGCATTTTAGGTCTAACATTTTTGACGTCTGTAAACCCAGCAAGTCGCTTCAGCGCACGAGGGTGAGGGCATTCTAGTTCTATCATTTCTGACGTTTGTAAACTCAGGAAGACGCCGGAGCGCACGAGCGTGAGGGCATTTTAGGTGTAACATTTCTGACGTCTGTAAACCCAGCAAGTCGCTTCAGCGCACGAGGGTGAGGGCATTCTAGTTCTATCATTTCTGACGTTGTTTGTAAACCCAGAAAGTCGCGCAGTGCACGAGCGTGATGGAATTCTAGTTTTAACATTTCTGACGTTTGTAAACCCAGGAAGACGCCGGAGCGCACGACCGTGAGGGCATTTTAGGTCTATCATTTTTGACGTTGTCTGTAAACCCAGCAAGTCGCTTGAGCGCACGAGGGTGAGGGCATTCTAGTTCTAACATTTCTGACGTCTGAAAACCCAGGAAGTCGCTTGAGCGCACGAGGGTGAGGGCATTCTAGTTTTAACATTTCTGACGTTTGTAAACCCAGGAAGACGCCGGAGCGCACGAGCGTGAGGGCATTTTAGGTCTAACATTTCTGACGTCTGTAAACCCAGCAAGTCGCTAGAGCGCACGAGCGTGAGGGCATTCTAGTTCTATCATTTCTGACGTTTGTAAACCCAGAAAGTCGCGCAGTGCACGAGCGTGATGGAATTATAGTTTTAACATTTCTGACGTTTGTAAACCCAGGAAGACGCCGGAGCGCTCGAGCGTGAGGCATTTTAGGTCTAACATTTCTGACGTCTGTAAACCCAGCAAGTCGCTTCAGCGCACGAGCGTGAGGGCATTCTAGTTCTATCATTTCTGACGTTGTTTGTAAACCCAGGAAGTCGCGCTGTGCACGAGCGTGATGGAATTCTAGTTTTAACATTTCTGACGTTTGTAAACCCAGAAAGTCGCGCAGTGCACGAGCGTGATGGAATTCTAGTTTTAACATTTCTGACGTTTGTAAACCCAGGAAGACGCCGGAGCGCACGAGCGTGAGCCCGCATTTTAGGTCTAACATTTCTGACGTCTGTCAACCCAGCAAGTCGTCGGAGCGCACGAGGGTGAGGACATTCTAGTTCTATCATTTCTGACGTTGTTTGTAAACCCAGGAAGACGCCGGAGCGCACGAGCGTGAGGGCATTTTAGGTCTATCATTTCTGACGTTGTTTGTAAACCCAGAAAGTCGCGAGAGTGCAGGAGGGTGAGGACATTCTAGTTGTAACATTTCTGACGTTGTCTGAAAACCCAGGAAGTCGCGCAGTGCACGAGCGTGATGGAATTCTAGTTCTAACATTTCTGACGTTGTCTGTAAACCCAGGAAATCGCCAGAGCGCACGAGCGTGAGCTCTTAAGTTTATTGACGTGAACTATGGAAGTCAGGTACACGAAAGATGATTGGGTGGATTAATGGCATTTTTATTTAACTCGATTACTGGTGAATTCATGTCCCACTTATGGAAAATATATTGGTGATTGATATTGATAGATGATTGAGTGTCTAAATTGATATTTCCACATTTTTAGTCATTTTGAACTAACATCAATTAGAAGTTTTCAATCGATATCTCATCCTATAGGAACTAGGAACGGAGTAAGTGGCATTTTGGGTGGTTTAGTATACAATAAATCAGTGAACCCTCGGCGCCATACGTCTTTGGCAAATATACGTCAACAGAATATTGACCGTAAACCCAGTTAGTCCAAAAATTGATTAGATTACGAGTGACAATGGCTTGAAATATAAATCCGCAAAACCATATTAAACAATATCTTTGTCCTAATTACGCAACGACTTTTTATTAGATGTACGACGGTTGCTGAATGGGAATTGAAAGATATCACAGATTATGCTATCGGGGTGAAGAGAGGTCATTGTAAGCTTATCATAGATTCATATCGATGCCCTTCTGGACAGAACATAGGTTAGTAACTATATTGCGGCCCTACTATAATACACAGACAATTTACTGACTGTTAAATGAAAAAAAAAAATAGATTTAGACCATTTAATGGGATATGGTAATCGTTGCTTGCTGCACTTTATATGTCAAAAGCTGAATGTATCTTGATCGAGGTGTTTGTAATCCAGAGGAAAAGCAATACAAGTAGATACGGTATATCTCATAGGTACCTGATCTAAGATTTGTTCATCTGAAGCCTTAATACCTCCAATTACGATCATGTTTATAATTACGCTTAATTTTTTTAAATTTTAGGAGTACTCGTGTTTATCGTGGCCAGTGACGAATTTATTATTTAAAAATCATGTAACAATCTTATTCCCGTATAATAACTTTCATTTAATTATAATTATGTAAAAATCTAAACAGCATTCCTAGGTATATGGTTTCTGAGCAGGACTCATGTTGTGTGTGTTTAATTTTATATTTACTATGATTTTCTAGTAGTGCTACTTATATGAAATTAGTTTGGCGCTTGAATCTGGTCTTTTCACACAAGTGCTTAACCTTTAACTGGTGACCTGAAGTCAACAGTGCGTATTTGGTGAGGTGACGTTTAAGAGACGTCAAAGAAAAACTAATGTACAAAAAAATTGGCTAACGTAAAATAAGTTTGAGGCCAAGAATTTAGTAACTTATATAGTTGTCCAAATAATATTAAAACATGGTTTAAAAAAACATTAGTTTTTGGTACAATATCAGTCTTTATTTGAGCAAGGTACTTTTCATTAAAAAAAAAGTTAGACACCTAAAATGGGCATACTAGCCCCCAGAAATACACCTTGGGACCTTCCTAATCATCATTTTTAGATAGTTTAGATACTAATCAACAAAACTCAGCAGGTAAATCTATCCTAAGATAAGAAATTATAAAAACTACAATCATCAAACATCACTTACTAGAAACGTTCACGTCTACAGACATCACAATTTTGCTTGCAGCAATTTAGGCACATAGGTTTATCATAATAAGTTCTAGTGAACCTAGTACATTTTATTACATGGCTAAGACAAATGGCACATGTTCTTTTAACCCCAGGATGGTTTTGGGACAAGGCAGAGGTCGGTCTAGGTGGTAATTCATCAACACCAACTGAACGCAGCTCGCGAGGTAGGGTAGTCATTATAAGCCACGAGTTTCAATTGAGGTATAACTAAAGAGCTATCCAATGATAACATGAAGCTGCCCCTAGTTACCTTGTTAGTATTGTCGCAATCACTGTTTAAGACTTAAGAATTTATTCCTGAAAAATATCGACTGAGCTAAGCGATAGAATATGATTATACATAGGCCAATAAGGATGTTGAATAGTTGAAACACTTTGTTTCATCTCATCCATCAACCCCTCCTATTTCGTCAGGACACTGTTATTCAATGGTGGAGGTGTTGATTTCATCTCCAGATTGCTCAGATTTGGTAACATGCAGACTTTCTAAAACGAAGTCAGGATCGCCTATATCGTCGTCAAAACTACTACACTCGTCGTCGTTCTCTGTTAGAAGCTCCTGTATTATATCTCGCTGACTAAGAACCCTTCTTCTTTTGGCAGACCTCTTTTGTTTATCATGAGACATTCTATAAAAGATAATAACAATACATTACCACCGCTGTGACGTCCCTTAAACACTATGAAGTTGTGTAAACTAACTGTGAGGTGACGAACAACAGACACATAGGTAAAATACACATTAGCACTGACCTGACGTCTGTGAGACGGCGAAAGCTCCACACAGGCAACACAGGAGACCCTGGGCTCGTGCGCCTCCTACTGAGCGAAGGTGTATGGCAAACGCGGAAGGTACCAAAACGCACGGGGAGAAGCGACAAAAAGGCGGGGAGATAAATAAAAAAAACGAAACGCGGTGTCTGAGAGACGGGCAGGTCACCAGTTAAAGGTTAAGTTATAATGTACTGTAACACTTACATTTTAATTACAAGACAATGTTTTGTGATGTGACGAAACTACAAGAGACTTATAAGGCCTTAAGTTGCTTCAAACCGTTTCTTCTGAGTAGTTAGGATGAAATTTACATTACTTAATAAGTTGATAATGTACAACAATATTAGCAATCGCCTTCACATACAGATTTATATCATGTTAATTTGTAAGTAACAAAATACTCAATATAAACAGTTGCACAGATGTTGACATAACATTTTAATAATTTGAGCCTATAATGTTTATTAGAACGTTAGGGAATTCATCATTTTATTAGTAAACGAAGTGGCATACCTACGATGCATTTTACAATAGTTCAATAAGTTTGAGTGTAGTGTCTCGCTTAACATGGGTTGACGTTCAGTTCTTACTTGCATTTTACATTCCTGTAACAAATTGTGTTGTTTTACTTTTCGATGCATTCATTGATGCGAGACTACGACAGTTTTGTGTGTAAACATTATGTGATAGTAAAAACTTGTGTACATAACGATTTTATTCTGAACTATTTTTCGCAAAGTACCTAATTTGAATAGCAGGTTTATTTGTAAGTACTTCAATTACTGGGAGTTGATAGTGATTGAATTTAATAAATTCGCTAATTTAAACATCAAAGAAGTTGTTTTATTTATTTTTATTATGCCAAACTCCTTATTACTATTTAAAGCATCGAAAACATTTTCCTAAGCGTTTAAGCCAAGTTTGTTTCTCTGATTCGCTATCTATAGTTAAGTGCAACGAGGGTACGCTCTCTGTTATTGGTAAGAACTCGGCCCATGCAACGGGCTTCAGCAAGGACATGTTGCGAGCCCACAGCTTATTACTTGCAGACTCCTTACTGTCCTCATGTTCAATAAAAGTGTTTTCTAATTCTTGTACTTCAGATTCGCTGGTAAATGATTGATTTTGCTTCTCCTCGTGAATCCAGTTGTTACTGTCAAGTTTTTCGATGGGGTCTGTAATTATTGAATGTTTCGGCCGACCGACGTCAATGCCTATCTGCGGTTTCTGTAACAATTGCTTATCAAAATCTCCTCCTTCGTGTCCCTCGTCGTCCATATCTTTAACAATTATTATATCAGTTTTTATCGAAGGTGGTAAGTTCCTATTGGAAGAAACTGTTGCCACATTTTTAACTTTTTCATCGACTACGTTTATCTCTGCTTTGATTTGAATCTTATGTGAATTTTCACTCAAAGAATCATTCGACTTCGGTTCGGCCGATGGAACCTCTACTAAAGCCTCTAGTTTGGAAGGGCATGTAGGACTAAATTTTGTATGCCTGGACCTTCTTCTCCTTTCGCGAGGCGAGAGACTCATCCAATTCACAACATTTGTGTTGCTCGATTTATCTTGTTTATCAACATGATTTAGAAAACCGTTTGTAGTAGTGTTTGTATCGAACCAGTTATTTATAGGTTTGGAGATAGGGCCGTTGATTGATTTAGGTGATTCGTCGGGTACATTGTTTCGAGTTGGCTCCGTAATTTCAGTAACTGTCGGCAGCGTTGTCGCCATGGACAAGTTTAACCGCGGCACGTAGGTAGCAGGAATGGGCGATGCAACTCTTCTGGTATTCTTGGTTACGTTCGGTTCCTCGCAAAAGTTTTCTAATGAACATGAAGTAGAGCTCGTGCTGTCTTGACTGGGAATGTTGACCAGCTCATAATCATTGTCCGATAAAATACGCTTGTTTCTAAATGAGTATATCCATATTGTGCGTTTGTTGGAGTCTGCGTCTTGATCAAAAGTTATTATTTCGCTGTCATAAGGCATGTCGCCGTTCATGTGGTCGGAGTTATCTGCTCGATCTATGAATTCAATTTCATCCGACGAAGTATCAGAGTTGAAAGGTTTATTTATGATTGTAAAACAGTTAGATGGGTGATTATTCTTCGGTTTAGTATCGGAAACATCGTTGGTAGAGCCATAAAAACTAGAGTAAACTATGTCATTGACGACCTCGGCTATTTCATTTTCGAGGATTTCCGGTGAATTTTCGTGGGTAAAATTATTATTTTGCATCATGCGTCTTTTTTCTCGAGCCTTTTTATTAGTCCTGTAAATTTCAGGCTGTGGCATTGAATAGCGGTCTTTGTCCACATACTGCCAATATTGTCCGAAGTTATAATCTTCTTTCCCAGTGGTGGTGACTTCTGCATCGTCAGAATCTAGTTCGATGATTTCTACTTGGGTTGTATCGTCTTGCAGCCATAATTGACCCATAACAATATCTGGTGAGTCAGGATGTTCTTCAATCGAAGGAAAGTCTGAAAAACAAAATCATTAAGGAGCTAAATTATTAGCTATATTCAATAAGGAGAGCTGTACTTAGATAATATGGGATAATTTACGGGAGTAAAATGTATGATTATCTTCGTAGCTATGTATTCTCTTTACAGTGCCTTCCTAAACTTTCCTGACCGAATTAAATTCTTCTAACTACCTACAACGATTCGATGGCAGATCATATTATGTTCACAGTGTTCACACTGTCCGTGAACTCCTGTGAAGAAGAAATGTTCTTTGTAAGTTACAAGAAGAAATATAATAAATCAGATCCTTACGATTAACCACTGTACCGTTACAACTCATATTCTGATATGTATTCCACCTCCTCATGTTTATGTATAACTTGCTCTAACAAAGTAAAAGTAATATTTAATTTTATTTATATTGATTTACTTTATATCGTAGTCCTGTAATTATTTCTTGTTCTGTAAGTAAATAAACAAGAAACATCGACAACAGTGTGACATCGCACAATATGTCGCAAGTGACAACTGGAAAATGGGAATTAAATTTTTAATGCTATAGAAAAAAGGTTTGTGTGAAAAACAACAAATAAAAATAATTTGGAAATATCCCCATAAGCTCTTTAAGGAGTAAGTTAATTAGAGTGATCATTCGAAAAAAAGGAGCCCGAGTGCATAAAATATCCCTTTTAAACGCTGCAAAAGCGTGGCACGGATAGTTCAAAAGGTCGGGAAGCAATTTAGCCTGTTAAAAGGTGTCTTGGTGCGGTAGTGCGCTGTTGGAAACAAAGTGTAAATGGATTGATTGCGTCAATCCCGTCACAAAGGGAGACAAATTGCATTAAAAGCGCGGCGCGGGCCATTTGGGAAGCACTTACTCCATTAGACGCGTCCAAATAACGTTACCTTAGTGTGTTGCGAATATACGTGCCATAATGGACAAAGCACACTTTACTATGATACTACGCTGACGCCTTATAGAGGAGGGAGGGTGTCAAAAAAAGACCCTGTTTTATTACTATACTGCGCCAGAAGGAGGGTTATTGAAATAAAAAGTCATAACGCCCCCCTTGTTGGGTCGGGCCTCGGGGCTTAAAAATACGAACACTTGACCATAAATAGGTACCTTGACCATTAATATGTATATGATATATTAAAATAAATATTTTTAGATGAAACATACATATAACTAACTTTTGTAAACTAAAATCGCAAATTAAAGTCCTTCATGAAATAATTTTCATAAGTATTAAGTAGGTATACGTAAAAAGGAATCCTATAATTTCTTACGTAAATATACGAGATACAAAATTAGACACAGTTACATAATATTTCTAGACAAAAGTTGCACAGTCCTTGACTCCTCCTTGTCTTAAAAAGTTCCAAACGACTTTCACGTAGAGGACTAACCACTTAGATGTTAAAAGCAAGGATAATTACCTTACCTACTGTTTAGTAGAGCATCTTGCTTGTGTGTTAAAGTTATAATTGTACTACTGAAAAGCTTTTCAGTGGACTTAAATCTGACTATAAGAAAAGTAGGTGATCAGACGCTTGAGCCAATTTATCTAATAAGCTTAATACTCAATAATTTATTGCATCCATAAGGTTACTTGCATACAAGGTGGTATGGTAAGGTAAGATACAATTATGGTAAGTAATAAATCCAAACATACGACTACAAGTACTTTATGTACCGCAAATAACCTTTCTTTGAGTATCTATCAACATAGTCTAAATCTACGTATGTGGTCTGCTGATGGCTGATGTGGTCTCTACTGTACTTAGAAATGTTTATTAACTGTGCAGGTAATTGTTTTGGCCCTACTTATGTAGTATATTCATATTCATATTCATTTATTTGCTCACTAAGTGTAGGTACATAAGGTCTTATAACTAAATACAGTGCTTAAAACTTAGTAACCTAGTTTAGGTATTGCAAACTTTTTGGAGAGCTGCATGCATGCTATATAATTATTTATTTTGTAGGTAAGTATAATATTATATTTTAAGTATTTATTTACAGTCCAGAGCGCCATTAAAAGTTATTCAGTTTACGTTAGTGTATTAGTTTTATCACAAAATCAGTCCTGTATTATTATTTTATTTATTATTTAAATATTCATCTAATTTATAGTAACATTTATTTATTAAGCATTGTTTCAACTTTTTATTGAATGTTGTGTACTTTTGTTCATTTTTTATTTCTTGTGGTAGTTTATTAAATAACTTGATGGCCATGTAATATGGGCTGGTATTTAACATTTTTACGAGTATTCTGGAGTATGGGAGGCATAGCTTTTCTTTGTGTCGAGTATTAACGTTATGTGTGTCTTGCATTTTTTTGAATAAATGTGTATTTCTATAAACAAATGAGCATAGGTCATGGATATAATATATTGCTGTTAGGGTCATTATTTTGTATTTTATGAAATAAGGTTTGCAACTCTGTGTGTTATCTATTTGGGCTATGATTCTTATACACTTTTTCTGTAATAGAAATAAGTCATTGGCATTAACGCTGTTGCCCCATAGCATTATTCCATATTTAAGCCAGGAGTATGCATAAGCGTAATACGCTGTTAGTGCTGTTTCTGTGTTTGTGCTGTGTTTTATTTCAAACTAGCTTTCCGCCCGCGGCTTCGCCCGCGTGGAATTTTGTCTGTCACAGAAAAACTTTATCGCGCGCGTCCCTGTTTCAAAAACCGGGATAAAAACTATCCTATGTTCTTTCCCGGGACTCAAACTATCTCTATGCCAAATTTCATCAAAATCGGTTGCGAGGTTTAAGCGGGAAAGCGTAACAGACAGACAGACAGACAGAGTTACTTTCGCATTTATAATATTAGTTGGGATAGGGCGTATGTAAATTTTGATAGTTTGGTTCTTATTTGATCTATGTGCGTTTTCCAGTTAATGTTTGTGTCTATGTGTAGTCCTAGTAAATTAAAAGTTTCTACTGACTAAGTATGTACAGATGCCTAGGACTCATTTGTTGGCTTATTTACAACTACTCATCAGTAGGTACCACAGCCAGCTCTCACAAGCGACGCGCCCGCGGCTCCCTCAAAGGTAATTAATCACATCAACCGCGCCTGAGTGGTCCACTCATCGCGACTAATTCGCAAATTAGCGACAAAGCGCTTCCATTCGCGCCATTGCGAATTTGCGACGGTGTTTCATCTCTCTATTTCACTTAATTTATGCTCACTTCATTATGTATGCCCGCTCGATTAATGCCTTCCGATCATACTCGTACGTAATTTCTTTCTCGGCTGAACGTTGCGTTTGTAATTAGATCGCTGCAATTGAGTTTGGAGCGAATTGATTTCGTATTGTTAAGTAGGTCGCGTTAATGGCAAAGATCGGAGAGAGGAAAAATTTGAACTTTTTCAGTTTCAAGTTTGCTATGGATCAATTCAAAATGATTGATGATGAACCTTTTATTATGGTGATGCAAGTTTTTGTTGTTAGTTTTCCATTTTAGGAAGGTGCAGCTCTACCTATATTACACCGGTAGAACTTGTCTACTCGATGCTTATAGAAGTTAAAACTAATAATACACTTAAGTTATGACTAATTATATTTCCGCAGTGAAACAAAAACAGAGTGAATAATTGCTAGTTGCTTTTCTCTTGCTCATGCTTTTAAGATAAATTATGAATTACAAAGATAACGCTGTTTTTGTTTCCGTGAATTAACGACGCTCATAATTGGTGTTTGCGTTTGTGTACCTCTACAACAATGGTGGTCAGTGGCGTAACTATAGGGTGGCAAGTCGGCAAAATGCCACGGGCCCCCAGCCCGAAGGGGCCCCCGGTCAGAGGAAATCTCAATTCCCAACATTTATTATTACACATACTAGTTACTTAAGTAAAAAAAAGTTTTGTCTTTAATTTATTTGTTACCTTCTTAGTTGCATACACAACTAAAAAAAATATACCTAGGTATTAAACTTTCAATGCATTGGTAAAAAAAAAATTAACCCAGTTTTAGAAAGAATGTTTAAAATCCAATTACTCGTAACAATTTTGGAAACATGTCTGGACAAACATACCTCAAAAATGTGTATATTGGTTTACATTTATATTCACTGGGCATGTCTCGCTGAGACTAGGTAGGTATACTGCCGGCATTAAAATCAGTGTTGCCGTTATAGTGCATTTCTCGCTAGATAGCGCAATTCTAAACTCTTCAGCGCTTTTTTTCTCAATACAATGCGCTAAAAAATATTTTTTGGAATCTAGTAGAAAATTGTAAAAATTATTGACGATCGTAAAAATCCAATAAGTTAATTGCCAGAGCCGTAAAACGTTACATAAATTACGATCTGGGAATTCCCCGAAGGATTTAGTATTCCCCGACCACAATGTTAATGATGCGTTTATTATTTTGTCTCTTTTTTACATTAAAGTGTTATGTTATGACTGTCTCTGATTTTACTAACAGAGTTCAATTATAATGATACGTCATCAGTTGAAAGTTCTTAAGAAAATTTGCCACACTTTTATGTTGCCTGAACACGGTTTGAAGAAAATGACTAAAACTGTAAAAAAAGAAACGGCATCTGGTGAACACACTAACCGCACCCGAACGTAATGATGACCAGAAAAATATTCATTTATTTAATTCAGTTGATTTTGATAAATGTAATAATTTAAATTTTAGATATCTAATGGTTAAATAAATTCACATAAAAACACATGTTCTCTTATTGCCATTCATAAAATTCACAGCTAAAATTTAGCGCAATAGTTAACATTAAAAACAATGAATCCAACTAGATGGGCAGGACGCTTTGATGCCATGTTTGCTTTAAAGGTTCGATTTGTTGATGTTCAAAAAGCGCTAACAGAAACCATTTTATTAAATTCCAAATCAGATGAGAGAAATGAAGCTATCTAGCTAGAGAAGAAGGTAGAGAACTACAATTTTATTATGTTGCTGGTTTTCCATTGCAAAGTCTTACAAACCATAGACGCGGCTTCTAAAGCACTTCAATCTAAAGCCATCGA